TATAAAATTCTCGTTTTTGAAGGACTCCTGATTCCCGAACAACTGGTAATTTCCGACTAGGTATCTAGAAATGATTGATCATAGTATTTATCATCAATGGAAGAATTTATTTTGTGTTTCGTTTGTCTGCTTACCATATTGCCAACTGTTTTCCGTGACTCCTTTTTCGAGTTATTTCGAGGTACGCGCAGTGCACCCGTGTAAAGAGACGCCCTCGAATCGCGGGGTTTCTAATCCAGTGTAATATATTAGTAATCAATTATTAATATAGTTTCATAACAATATGAATATTCACCTCGACACGGCAAGGATTTGATATTTTGGACCGTGACAAACTAGTTTGACGACCTATGGTGAGTTTAGGGTTTCTGATTATGGTTTCCGATCTTTTTCTGTTAGCATCGTTGGAAGTTTTGCTTGACAATATTTCTTCAAGAGATGCAGGATTTGGCTTGAAGCTATCTTGAATGTCTTTAAGAGCCATGGTTCGTCTGCGTTGCGTTGATAAAGCGTTCATCCTTGAGGAGCCAGTATTAACCGGTTTACGCAAAGGATCGGCATTGGTTGGTTTACGCGAAGGAACGGCAGTAGGAAGTCTGCGCACGGAACCAATAATTGTTTTTCGCATGGCTGACTTAGGAGTTTCCGTAGGACGTAAAGGGCGATTGAGATTTGTAGCATTAACACGAGAGGTACGTAGTGATGGTCTCACACTTAATTTGCTTGTGGATTGTAAACCGGAGAAGAGTTTTATGGGTGCTTTTAATTTAGCATCTTGAGAATTATTGGTTACTTTGTTTGCCACCAATTTAGCACGTGTCAGTGTCATTCGTGTCTTTGCAGTCGGATCATTATGACTCAAAGAAATTGTTCGGTTTAATCCAGTAGGCGGTTTACTTTTCAACAAGGGTGAAGATTGTTGGCTTGTGGGTTTAACAAGCGAAGACTACGAATAGATTTTATTAAAAATGCATATTCTTCCTATAAAAATCAACTGGTATAGTAAGGTAAGCTTACTTGGTT